TGCCACGGAAGTCTCCAGAGTTAACATTAACATACAGTGTAGGATAGGAGAGTACTGATGATCAGAAGGCCCTTCCCACTTCAGATCACATTTGCGCTGGCTTAAAAAGAGCAGATGGCCCTTCTGACCAACATCTAGTGCTATGTATGCTATGAGTTCTTCTATCAATTCTGTTACACTGTAAAATGCCTTTTGCAGCTGTATTACACTCGCTATGAAGTAGTCTTTCTGTTAATACAATGCATCATTATTTGAAGCCCTGCAATACTTTGAGGCACCTCCATGTCAACAAATTCATGCAGCAACCAGGAAAAATTGTTTTGACTGTTTTCATCCATACTCTTCAATTTACATATATGTGTATATACCTATACACACACAGAATCTCAACATTACAGACTACTGAACCTCAACAAAAACTTCTGTATTTTTAGATGATCCCATAAAAATAATTTAACAAAAAAACAGTTTGAGCTACCCAACCCTAGAAGTTGTTCAGGGATCACTAAAAATAATCTGTATTTCTCAGGCATTACAGATCAAGGTTTCAGCTTTTCCACGCAAAACTTTTTTTCTTCTTCTCTCCAACGGATCATAGAAAAGACAAGAGTTTGATTTGCCCTGCTTACTTTATATCCCTCTCATTGAGGCTATGCATATGCCCAAGATGTTCAGCAGGACTTTGTTATCAAGCAGCACAGTACAACAGATACCATGTTGAGGTCACAAGTTCACATTACATGCATTTCCGTGGTTTTACTTTGCACTAACTTTAATTTAGTCCCATAGATTGAATGATTAGCAGCTGGAGTGCATTAAGGCTATATCTACATTAACAAATATAGAACAGTACAACAACATCTCCACAGCCAAGAACCAGTATTGAAAACTTCATGTCTACTGAACATGCATTTGGCAGTTTACCTGATAGCATGCAGTACAATAACCATGCTACTCTACCAGCAGCTTCTGGTCTTATTTCACCAGCAAGGAATTTAGTCTGTGTGCTCTGAGACTGTTCCAGATCACAAATCAAAACAAGGCAATTAGGGACAAATGAGAAATTAATTTCAAGTTCACTTCAAACACTAATGTACAAGGGCTCCAAAAATAATACCTCCTATTCCATGATGCTGACCCATATGTCAGAGATGGATGGTGGAATTACAGTAGTGGATGTTGAACCTTCCCACCAATATCCCATTACATTTTGTTGCTGTGTGACAGATGGCAGCAGAGGAGCAGTCTGACACAATGGCACATGGAGGTGAGGATGAAGCAGAGGGGTGGCATTTAATTCCTCCATGAAGAAAGAATGGCACCCACTGCCATTCATCGACATTTATGGAGACCAAACAGTGGTGTGAGCACAGTGAGGGGTGGGTGATACTTTTCAGCAGCTGTGACAGCAAGACACCTTCACTGGTGCAGATGTTTATAAGCAAGGCATACAGGCTCTTGTTCATGGCTGGTAAAAATGCACACAGCTAATGGTGGTGACTAGGTTGGAAAATAGCATTTTGTAGCTGAGATTTTCCTCAATCAAATGGTGTTTTTGTGCTCTTCATATCTGTTGTAGTTTCCATAGAAATAAATAGGAGGTATTACTTTTGGAGTGATGCCCATCAACACATCCCAGTTACACTGCTGGAATGCATCTTAAGATTCATCAAAAAAAGGAATTCAGTACACATGCTCCAAGACTATCCTCTTCAAAAGCAATCTCTAAACTGCTGATGCAGGTAGGGCCTTCACAATCCAGGCACACAGCAGTTCTGTTCTTTGCTCCACCTATGCTTCCTAGCAGAGCTCTGAGATTACTTTACTTCCTTAAACAAGGCAGGCATTGCCCTTTAGAAAAGTCACATTTGTGAAGCAGAATGTCATTTACTAAAGCCTATATCACTCCTTGTTCAAGAGTATGAAAAAAAATATAGAAAAACACTTCTTTACTATCTTGCATTGGCTACCACCTGTAGTGAGATAAGATTGTGCAAGAGAAACATATAAAGCCACTACCATCCTTTCCTGAAACTGTATCATAAAGACTTCATACAGTGAGGAGCACAGGCACTCTAGTTCTGCCTCTTCCACATACCAGATGTTGGAGTTGCCATGAATTATTTATTGCCTGAAGACTAAACTCTAAGCTAGCACTTATTCTACAATGGAAATTGGCCACACTGCTAAAAAAAAAAAAAAATACTAACAAGAGTGAAGTTAAAGTATTTCATTCTGACAGCAGCTCCAGCATCTTCAGAAGTTAGTTATGCTGCCTCTGTACGAGAATCACAGAACAGCTAGGGTTGGAAGGGACCTCAAGGACCATGAATCTCCAACCCCCCTGCCACACGCAGGGCCACCAACCTCCCATTTAATAGTAGAGCAGGCTGCCCAGGACCCCATCCAATCTGGCCTTGAACACCTCCGGGGACAGGGAGAGAAAGGAGGCATTTCTGAGCTGTCAGTCAAACATACTATATCAGAAAAAATACCAGCCCAAGTTCTCCAACAGAAAGTTCAGACTCAGCTGAAGAACACAGCAGGTGAGAGGAACAGCCCCTGCATGAGACACAAATTACTTGCAACTTCATTCATCAAAAAAATGAAATCGATAAGCAAGTAGATCTTCTTTAACCTAAGGACTTTTACAATAATTGCAGTGATGGTATCATCCAGTATAATACTGAAACTTAATTTATATACTGTTCAAAGGCTTTTAATTAGACTTCCACTCTTTTGTTTTTGAATCAAAGAATTAAAGATATGCTTTCTAATCCATATATAACATTATTCCAGTAAATCACTGAACACTTTTGCTTTATCAAAACAGTCTTGTATGCTTATTAGGTGGCACTAACTATACCACCTTTTATTTCCAGTTACATAAATGAATATCTTAAATTTCTGTTCAACTCTGTTATTTCCCAAAGGCAATCTGTGAAGCCAGTAAATAAACTTTGGTTGCTTAAGTATTTTCCCTATCTTACTGAGCTGGACATACAGCCAACAACTGTATTTCAAAAAAGGACACATCTATGTTTCTCTCATTATACCAGTTGCATAATATTCCACATTATCTCAAAGCTCTCATCACTAAATAACCCAAACAGCAAATAACAACTACCCATACATCGGAAAACAAATAAGTAGAATAATCTTACTATTCATTCCTGATCCAGTGAGAAAGTGTTTTGCAAACTTGAGCATATGCATTTGAAAAACAGCATTCTGTGGTTCTTTTCACTGCATGGTGTCACTATCCCCAGTTATACAAAACAGTAAAGAAACGAAGTGTCTGAGCATTTTCTGTAGACAATTATGTGATAGGATTAGATAGATGGTGAAAGGAATATAATGGAACAAGTAAACAACCAGATCTCCATTATCAGAGAGATGCTGAGCACCCACAGCTCCCTCTACATTAAACTGAGCACCTCTCAAAGGTGCTCACCTTAAGCCTTTGTGCCTAGAAATCTGAAAATTAAATCTAGACACTTCCATTGATCGTAACAAATACAGATTCAGCACCGTATTAAACACAGCAAGGAGACCTGGGTGCAGGACTTACAACCTCATATGATTTACACCTGGAAAGTGAACATTCAGTGGATTCTACATAGTTGTAGGGGTAAGGGCACCCTCCAGGTGGCTTTTACAATGATCTTTACATAACTCTCGATACTGTACACAACACCTTAGGTTCACAGTCACTGAAAGAGTTTATCTCCAAAATCAATCCATAAAGAAAGTGATGAACTTCAGTCTCTATTTAATGGCTGAAGAATTGAAAAAGGTAAACAAAAAGAATTACCCAGTCTAACACTATAGTGTGATGGAAAGAACAATAATAGCAGGGTAGCAAAGTCTTAGGCTACAGCAAATGAGAACAAAGCCAAAGGTTGCAACCACAAAAACAAAGAAAAAAAGAACTGCTTACCTTTAGAAAACTAGAGACATACAGGTATCTCCACCAAAATATCCTTGCCTCCACTGCCAACCCTTAAATGAGGTCTGGGAAGAGATGGATCCTGGCTCCACCCCTTCCAATCACTCAAGTACATTGCCTGCACCTGAGCTCCCCTGGCTGGCCCTGCCTTTCCACCAGGTGCTCAATCACTGCTTCAAGCCATGACTCAGCATTTCTCTGCACCCAAGAATGTAGGGCAGAAATCTAAGAAAGTTTGGAATTCCTGATCTGTGCCATAAATGGGTGGTTTTTTCCTCTAGACATAGAGTAATATCCTTTCATTTTCTTATTTGACTGACATAGGGTGGATGGGAAAGTTTCTATTAACTTAAAACCATTATTCCATTTGATTTGTTGAGTTTACTTTGCCTCTTGTATATATCACACTATGCCAGTGCTGAGAACAGAACTGCTAAGAAGTTAATGACAGCAGCCTACATAGGAACCATAGTAAACTTGAAAGCTACAAAGCTTAGCTTTCACTCAATATTCTTTGTTACAGTGAGCTGAAAAAATACTTCTGCAATATTGTTAACCTAAAATTCCACAGAGAACTTCCTTTCCGTTTTATGTCATGTGCAATACTGAACTAAAATTGTGTTTTCCTACTAATTTTTTTTTCTTGCCATTTTTCAGGTTATTACTCTTGCAGGATCAGCTTAAGATGTGCATAATACAGGCTGGTGATAAGCAGAAGTAATGAGCCACAAGTCATGCAACATTGTGTGCAAAACCATTCACCTTTCTACATTGTAACTGAATTAATAACATTGTTCTTTGGATTGCAGGAGACACCCGCAGGAACCCAGCATTCCTCTCTCAACATTTCTGCAGCCAATGCCACAGCCCTCCTTTAGCTCAACAGAACAAGTATCAATCTCTTCATTACTCCATATTGCAGACATTACAGTCAATTATGGAAACTATAATAAAAGCAGTGGCTCCAAATTCTGATGTTTTACAGTATGCACCTCACATAGGCACTTGGTAGGGTAGAAACAGCAAGTAAATGAAAGACAAAGCAGACATACCTCCAGATTTCAGAATGACAGGTTCTTCTAGTCCAGTGAAGATCAAGAGACACGAAGAGGGGAGCTTCATTTCCCTTTACAATTGCTGGAAGACAAATTAACCACAGTTAAGGAAGCATTTAATACATAGGCAGGGCTGGTTTCTATAAGTAAAACTAAAGAATTTCTACAGAAAAACAGTAACTGTGATTCGATAGCTACACCAAGGAGCAACATTTATTTGAAAAGAATCATAGAATCATAGAATGGCCTGGGTTGAAAAGGACCACAGTGATGATCTACTTTCAACCCCCTGCTATGTGCAGAGTTGCCAGCCACCAGACCAGGCTGCCCAGAGCCACATCCAGCCTGGCCTTGAATGCCTCCAGGGATGGGGCATCCACAGCCTCCTTGGGCAACCTGTTCCAGTGTGTCACCACCCTCTGTGTGAAAAACTTCCTCTTAATATCCAACCTAAATCTTCCCTGTCTCAGTTTAAGACCTTCCTCCTTGTCCTATCACTATCTAACCTCATAAACAGCCTTTCCCCCTCCTGTTTATACACTCCCTTCAAGTACTGGAAGGCTGCAATGACATCTCTCCAGAGCCTTCTCTTCTCTGAGCTAAAAGAAATTAGACAACATTGTTATACCTCCTAATAACGGAAGCTGAGAAACCATAAGCAAATCAAAGATTAGTAAGCAATTTGGGGAAGTATTTTCTAACAGTCATATATGGAAACATGAATAATTTAAGTTCTGAGGAAGGCCAAGCACTCTTCTTAGCCAAAGAAATCCCATCAGAAAAACGTTCCTATCGATTCTGTTGTTCACAGCCTGCACATCACAAACGGCTGCTCCCAACCCCAAATTCCTTCTAGTGGGATACGCATACATTGCTTCTAAACTCCTGAGGGAAAACACTGCAGCTAACTGCAATGTAGGAGCAAAAGACTTGTAAAACGATCATAAAACGCTGATGCGTTTCTGTTAATCCAGAGATGGCCTATTTGGAGCCTCTGCCAAGCGAGCCCACAGGTGGATGGCTAAAAGGTAGAATCCATACACAAAGCAGAAGCCCCAGAATTCTTCTTTTAATCATTTTCTCATTGGGAGAGAATGGAGAAGTGCAAATAACGAGGCACTTGCCATCGGCAAAGCAAGTACCAGATTTGGCACACCAGCTCCCAGTCTGTTACCAGAGGCTCCAGAAAGTAGCCTTTCCCACATCCAAGAGGCAGAACGCAAGAGAACACCGAGCAACTCATCCCAAAAACCCAACAAGTGTGCGGTGGGAGCCGGTGTCGAGCAGTGGTTTGGGCTGCCGGCTAAGGGCCAAGAGCACCTGGGAGCGGGGCGGGATCTGAGCAGGGATGTCAGCACTGAGGGAAAGGACGATCCTGACAGGACCGACCGGCACAGCGCCCAGCACCAACGTAACGGGGTGGGAACGTCTGCCGGGAGACGAGAACGCGGCCCGCACTGCGCGGAGCGGCGGCACCCCGTGCTCCCCACACAGCCCAGCACGTAGCGAAGGGCGAGAAACGGCTCCGCGCCCTCAGCTGCTTTATTTCAATGCTGGAGCCCGAGGGCACTGATCACAGAGCTTCGGCTCTGCTGTGGTTTCGGCCATCGCAGACAGAGAAAAACTTCCCGCCGAGGGGCGGCGGGGCGGCGCAGGGCTCAGCAGCCGCCCGCTGAAGGTTGTTTACTTCCTCCGCGGCGCGCGCGCGCGCGCTCGCTCACCCTCCCCCCCTCACCCCTGCACTCCGCCACCACCGACGCGCCCCACCGGCCAATCAGAACTGCCGTTGCCCGCGCGGGGGGCGGGCACCTTTTAAACAGGAGCCGGGGGGAAGGCAGCGCCACCGCCCCCTCCCCTCGGCCTGAGGGCGCGGCCGCTCATTGGGCGAGAGCCCTGCCCGTCTCCCCGAGCTCCCGCCTTCCGTTTGACTCGCGCCGCCGAGTAGCCGCAGCGCCCCGCCCCCGCCTCCCGTAGCTGTGTGTGTGAGGCGCCGATTGGGCGCCGCCCCGCCGCTCGGCTCCCTCCCGTCAGCGCCGGCCCCGCCTCCGTCCCCACGCACCCGTCCCCAGCGCAGGAAACACCCCGCCACGCCGCGGCCGGCCTAAAGCCCCCGTCACCTCCCGTTGGCTTGCGGCGCTGTCGCTCCACCGAAGTCCCGCCTCCCCCGGATAGAGCGCGACGAAGCCCTCCCCCAGAGCGCCTCTGATTGGCCCGTTCGCCAACGGCCGCCGCTCCCCATTGGCCGTCTCTCTGCCACTCCGCCGCGCGGCGCAGCCGGCTCCCTGCTCGGGAGCTCCGCCCGCCGCCGGCCGGGGCCCCGCCTCCGTCTCTCCCGGCGCGCGCCCCCGCCCTCCGCGGTCACGTGATGTTTTTGCCGTGGTGCCGCCGAGGCCGCCCGTGTGAGTGCGAGTAGCCGGGCGCCGGCGGGAGGGCGCGGGTAGGCGGGCGTCGGGCACGCAGGCGGGCAGCGCCGGGTCCTCCGCGCCGCCCGGCTCCTCATGCGCGGCCCGCGGCGGGCGCTTTCCCGGTGAGGGCGGGTTCCCGCAGCCCGCCCCGTTTCCCCCCTTCTCCGGACCCTGCCTGGCCCCTAAGATGGCGAGCGGCATGAACGGCCCGGGCGGCAGCGGCGGCGGCAGCGGCGCGGCGGTCAGGGGCGGCGAGGAGGAGCCGGGCACCCGGCACGCGGGAGGCGGAGCCGTGCCCCAGCAGCGGGAACCCGGCGCGGCGGGAGAGGGGGAGCCGGCGGTGGGGGACGGCGGGCGCTGCCCGTCCCCGCAGCCCCACCACCTGCTGCTGCTGCTGCGGCGCTCCCCCAGCGCTTCGCTCTGTCCGCCCGCCGAGGGCTCCGCGGGCCGCGCCGCCCTGGGCCGCGGCGGGCAGCCCCCCCCCGCGGGCCGCGCCGCGCCCCCGGCCTCGTCCTGCGGCGGCGACGACGTGAGGAAGTGCGGCTACCTGAGGAAGCAGAAGCACGGGCACAAGCGGTACTTCGTGCTGCGGGCCGAGAGCCCGCTGGCCCCCGCCCGGCTGGAGTACTACGACAGCGAGAAGAAGTTCAAGAGCAGCCTGCGGGCGGGGGGCGGCGGGGCGGCCCCTCTCTGCTGCCCGCCGCCCAAGCGGGTCATCCCGCTCTACCAGTGCTTCACCGTCAGCCGGCGCGCCGATGCCAAGCACAAGCACATCATCGCCTTGTACACCAAGGACGAGTACTTCGCTATGCTGGCGGAGAATGAGGCCGAGCAGGAGGCCTGGTACCAAGCCATCAGCGAGCTGATGAGCCAGAGCAAGAGGGGCTGCCTGGAACAGGAGGACCAGGCGGAGCAGCAGGTGGATGAGGACGACGAGCACTACGGGGCCTCCCTGAGGCCTGGCACCGTCTTCAAGGAGGTGTGGCAGGTTAACGTGAAGCCCAAAGGGCTGGGCCAGACGAAAAACCTCACTGGAGTGTATCGACTGTGCCTCTCCAGCAAGGCTATCCACCTCGTTAAGCTTAACTCAGAGGTGCCCTCTGTCCACCTACAGCTGATGAATATTCGCCGCTGTGGGCACTCGGAGAACTTCTTCTTCATTGAAGTGGGCAGATCGGCATCCATCGGGCCTGGAGAGCTCTGGATGCAAGTCGATGATTCTGTGGTGGCCCAGAACATGCACGAGACTTTTTTGGAGACCATGAAAGCGCTCAAAGCCTTTGCAGAGTTTAGGCCGCGAAGCAAAAGCCAGTCTTCTGGTGGCGGTGGTGGTACCAATCCCATCTCCTTCATCACCACTAGGAGGCACCTGGGCAACCTGCCCCCCAGCCAGACGGGCTTGCAGAGAAGATCGAGAACTGAGAGTGTGGTTGGAGGGACGCCTCCTACCACTAAGAGCAGCAACTCCTACCGCTTCAGGACATCCAGTGAGGGAGAAGGAACCATGACTAGACCTTTCAGGTCAGTGACAGGGAGCCTGATCCACCTCAACACCGCCAGGATGAATTTGGGCCGGCAAGAAGGGAGTGGAAGGTACGTTAGAGCCGCATTCAGCTCGTCATATCACACTAGGTCTGCTTCGCTGCCTGTGTCTCATTTTCCCTCCACTACAAGTCCCATCAGTGTTTCTTCCAGCAGTGGCCATGGCTCTGCTTCAGACATGTTGACCAGGCCTTCCAGCTCCTCTGTTTGTGGCTCTCCAAGTGATGGGGGATTTATCTCTTCTGATGAGTATGGCTCCAGCCCTGGAGATTTCAGGTACTTTAGGGTCCGGAGTAATACACCAGATTCCTTGGGAAACACACCACCTATCAGAGAGGAGAATTGTCTGAGTGAGTACATGTCCATGAGTAAGCAGCAAGCAGACGATAGCTCAAGAGATGATTATATGGAAGCTGAAAAGTGTTTCAGAAAAAGAACTTACTCTCTAACTAAACCAACTTCTGTAGCAGTGCAGCAGAAAACAACACAAACCACAGCTTTGTTAGATGAAGATTCCGTAGGAAATCATGGACGATTACTTTACTCTGAAACACCAAAATTGAAAGGTAACCATGAATTGGAGTACAATGACAGTAATCTTGATTCTATATGCAACCAAAGCAGGAGTAAAGCCAGGGATGATGGATACATGCCAATGATGCCAGGCGTTGCATCCTCTCTGTCAAGTAACAGCGATTATTTGCCAATGACTCCTAAAAGTATGTCTGTTCCAAAACAGATTAACAATTCATGGTCACCATCTCAAGTTGACTCAAGAGGATATATGATGATGTTTCCAAAGGCAAGCTCTTCACCTGTACGGAGTCCTTTAACTGGATTTATTTCTAAAGGTAGTAACGAGAAGATTGTAAACAACGAATACATGGATATGTCACCTGGTAATTCAGCTCCAAAGCATCCCGGTGATTCAAATTACATACATACCAGTTCTGTTTCCAAAGGTTTCAGTTCGTATTTTTCTTTGCCTCGAAGCTTTAAGGCACTAACAGGACAAAATGGTGACCACAGTGAATATGTTCCAATGTCTTCACCTGGAAAACTCCTGTATGGTGGACCAGAAAATGTAAAAAGCACCAACAGCGAAGTTCTGTCTAATGGCATCTCTAAGTCACCGATGGTGAAAGGTTCAGATGAAGGACTGGTGCAGAATAGGGCTATGCGGCCAACAAGACTCCCCCTCGGTACAAGAGGGAGTAATACTATCCCAAGAATGTATGATCGCACAGTTCCACCTGAGCCAGCGAGTCCTGGTGAATACATCAATATTGATTTTAATGAAAAAGCAAGTAATACACCGTATTCTTTATCTGCAGAAGGATCGCCGTCATCTCTGGGCTCAAGTAGTGACCACAGACAGTCCCCGCTCTCAGATTATATGAGTGTTGACTTGGATGTACAGTCACCAAAAGTAGCGAAAGAACTATCTAACTCTTTAACAGATATTTCAATTTATGCAAGTTCCAGTATTCCTGGAAGCCAACAAAATCCTGATTATGCTAGGCTCTCCTTTGGTACTGCGTGTGTTAGCGCTGCGAGTAACAGGACTGATGATTACACAGAGATGACGTTCAACATGGCAGCAACACCACCTCGGCCCTTCGCTGCTGAATCCGATGATGGTGTGAAGATGGATAGTCCTTCTTCCATAGTTAACAGACTGTGCATTGTTGATCGATATGCTGGTAGCAGTAGCTTTTCTGTTCCTAGCGCTGAGCCTCCAATGGGACCGAAAGTTATTCGAGCTGATCCTCAAGGCAGGAGGAGACACAGTTCTGAAACCTTCTCTTCTGCTGGGACTGTGACAACATCCTCCTCTTTCTTTACTGATAGTAGCAAAAGACACAGCTCTGCCTCATTTGATAATGTTTGGTTAAAACCAGATGAAAGCATTTCTGATGGTCAGGAAAACAAAATGTCCAGGGATACCTCAACTGGATTTCAGAATGGCTTAAACTACATAGCTCTGAATTTGTGCGATGATCCAATAAGCTGTGAGGCAAGTACTGGGACGCCGACTTGCCATCTCCAAAATGGTACTTCAAGTTTGGACAGTGGAGCGTACGTAAGCATAGACTTCACCAGGTCTGATGGTCTGAAGTGTAACGCTGCACGAAAAGGTTTGTAACTTTACAAGCATTTTCCTTTCATGCATGCTTAACTATAGGAATTAAATTGTAACCTAATACTAAAATGTGATCTTAAGAATGGGGTAAATGTTGCTATATAATCTGTGTTCCAGTACAGCTTGTCCTGTGGTAGCGCAGTCACCTAACGACTGAACAAACACAGCAGAGGACGTGGTCCTTGGCCTGCAGGGTGTAGGTTTATGTAACTCTCCTAGGCAATTAGAAGTGTTATCAAACTGCCATCTGCTCAGATATTTTTTATAAACTAATTTTGCTAGTATAAATGTCTATCATTCTATGTTTTGAATTCTTGTTCTGAGGTTATGATAGCTCTTCTTTTCTCCAATTTATTTTTCTCTTCCTCCTTTCTTATACTTAGATGGTTTTTCCAACTGTATTGAAATTGAAATTAAGTATTTTGTGTCGTGGATAAGGAGAGCTGAAAGCTGGTAAATTAGGTTTAGAAATCAAAAGGTGGGGCTTGGATTTGTTTATTGCAGTAAACGTGGGTGAAATGCGTATTTTAGAGCGTGGTGTGTGCAGATGTGTATGCATTTATTTATTTGAATCTTAGGTAAACAAGCTCACTTCTCTTTTTCTCCTGAAGGTTTGGTGTGCTACTTTTGAGGTCTGCTCTCCTGAGTATCACAGTGTCCCCTGCAGAAGCCATTCCTGGTGGCTAGGTGGGGTTGTGAGGGGCTCCTGCCCTTGCACTCACTGCCAACTGAGCAATGTCTGAGGGCATCTGCTGTGCAGAGATCTGCCTGTTAGAAGGCAGTGAGTAGCACCTGTGATAGAGGCAGAACTGACTCTGAGGGGATAAACTGTAGGTCTGAAGCTTTGGAGAAGGGGCTGCTCGCTCTCAAGCTGGCAGCAAAGTCTTGCTGAACTGAATGTAAAGCAGTTTGAAGTGTGTGTAGAAATCTAGGGTGCTGGTGATGGAGAGGGAGGATATGGGCATATGGAGAGAGGCTTCTATTCGTACAGTCAGCTCTTTACTGTCATGGTGGAAGCAAATAATAACTGGCTGTTGGTGTTGTTATGCATATCTTCTGGCCAAACAGTACTGTAGGATTGTCTTGGAAGCATAATCTCTCTTCTAGTACTAGTGG